ACGGGGGGGGCTGGGGGTCCAGCGAGCTCCATTTCCCCCTCGGGTGCGGAGACGGTGGCGCTCACCCTCCTTACAGGGTCGCCACTCCCTCCGGGCAGCCAAAGGAGCAAGACGGCAAAAGGCCGCCGACAACAAAAGCCAAGACCGAGCCCCGGTTACGGGGAGGTCGCCCAGCGCAAAGCCAGCCAGGGCACCCCAAAGGTGCCCGCGATGCTCTTACGTGACCGCGCCCTGGAGACAGGGAGGTCCCTTTGCCCAGGGTGCCTTTCTCGCGGCCCCTCTTCTCCAGCCCGACGCCGCTCCTCTTCGCGCTCGCTCTTGCCTCGACGTTCCACACGACGCCCTCTTCTTTCTTCTCCCTTCTCCGCCAGCTGCTGCCAAGGGAACGAGGACACACTTAGGCCCCAGGAGCCCCAAGCCCTCCGCCGGACGGAAACAGCCCCGCAGGGAGCTCCCCGAGCCACCACCCGGACGCCCCCCGCCCCACACAAACCCTCCGACTTCAGCCCCTCTCACCAGAGCGGCGCACAGCAGGGTCCCGGCCGGTGCTGGAGCTGGGCTCGGAGGCGGGCACCCTGGCCAACTGCGGCTGGGCAGGCACAGCAGCGCCCAAAGAGGTTGCACCCCTGCTTACAGGGGGCTCGAGCTGCTGCCTGGACTGCAAAGCGCCCGGGACGCCAGGGCGCTGCCCGGGCCCTGACTTACAGGGCGGCCCTGGTCCCAAAGGCCCGCGGAGGCTCCTTTCTCTCCGCTTCAGGGGCACCCTGACCCGCACCCCGCTAACGGGGCGGTCACCCCACGCAGGCTGCCAGCTAAGCGCTATCGAGAGCGCTGGGCACTTTCTGCCCTGAAGGCAGGTGAATCGGCAGCGGTGGCTGGTGACCTTGGGAGGTGTTGGGGGCTTGGGCAGAACTTCCTGAGCTGGGTTCCTCATCTCTTGGGAGAAGCTGCCGCTTCGAGGCGGAGCAGCTGGTTGGGAAGTGGCTGCTGTCTGGGGCCTGCAAGTGGTCCTGCCCTGCCCTGCCCTGGTCCCTGT